GGGGCTGGGAACAGGACAGGGCGATGGGAGAGGAGCAGGAGTCTGGAAGTGGGGTTCGGGGCTGGAAATGGGGCTGGGAGTGGGACAGGGGGCTGGGAGCGGGGCAAGGAACTGGGAGCAGGGCAGTGGGAAGCAGGGCAGGGGGCTGGGAACTGAGGCTGGGAAGCAGGGCAGGAGGAACAGGGCCGGGCCCTGCCTGTCAAAGCCCTGCCGTGGCACCCCCTGGTTGCAGGACCCTCCTGCCCTGCTGTTGCCCAGCCTGGGCCCACGCTCCGGGCCGGGGCACTCTGGCACACAGCCCTGGTGCCTGCCCGGGCAGCACCCCTGCCCTGCAGGGCAGCCCCGTGACATCCCCACACGGCGGGGAGGTGGAAGGGTCCCTCTGAGCTGTTCATACCCGGCTCACACAGCAGCCCTGGGGTGTCGCAGTGCCCGAGCTCTGCCAGGGCTGCCGGCGTGTCCCGGGTGCCCAGATCCCGACTGAACTCCAGGGTTGGCTCTGAAAGCCAAGCTGGGCCAGTGTTTCCTGCTCTTCCGGAGTTGCAAAAAGTAGCTCCAGCGTGGGAGAAGCACGTCCTGCTTTGGGCAGCTCCCAGCAGCTTCCTCCTCCTCACTGCCTCTGTGCTGAGCGTGCCAGCGCTAAGGTGAGTGAGCACACACCGAGCTGGCACCAAATCCAGGTTAATAAGCAAATGCAGTGGTGAGCTGCAGGCAGGATCCCACTGGCTTAAACATAAATCAGTGTTTAATTAGCAAGGCTGGCTCAGCCTGGTCCACCCGCTGTTCTGTAACGTGTTTGTGCCCGAGGCTCCCACGCACACCCCGACCTGCTCTGGGTGCTGGAAGGTGCATCTGCAGCCTCTGACCCTAAACCTGTTGGACCTTGGTTGGCAAGAGGACCCCGGGGTCTCCATGCCCTCCTCTCTTTGCTGTTTGCAAATCAGGAGCCACACTGAGGGTGGGGAGGAATCCCAGGACCAGGAGGAGGAGATGCAGGTGCTGGAGTGTGGCCCTTGCCCAGGAGTTCTCCAGCCGGGGTGGAGAGATGGGACTGCCCAGCCCATTCCCACTGTGTTCCCACAGCACACCCAGACAGGTTGTTCAGGGCAGGATTGCAATCACCACCCTCACAGGGAAGAATTTCTTCCCAGTATCCCATCTAACCCTGCCCTCTGGCAGTTTGAAGCCATTCTTCCTTGTCACTCCAGGCCCTTGTCCTAAGTCCCTCTCCAGCTCTATTGGAGCCTCCTTAGGAACTGGAAGGGGCTCTCAGGTCTCCCCAGAGCCTTCCCTTCTCCAGGCTGAACAATCCCAACTCTCCCAGCCTTTCCTCCCAGCAGAGCTGCTCCAGCCCTCTGATATCCTGGGGCCTCCTCTGGACTCTCTCCAGCAGCTCCATGTCCTCCCTGTGCTGTTCCCCAGGGCTGGAGCAGCTCTGCAGGGGGGTCTCACCTGAGGGGGCAGAGGGGCAGAATCCCCCCTGCCCTGCTGCCCACACTGGGGGATCAGCCCAGGGCACGGGGGGTTCTGGGCTGGGTCATGTCCAGCCTCTCCCCCACCAGCCCCTCAAGTCCTTCTCCCAGGGCTGCTCCATCTGCTCATCCCCAGCCTGGATTGATCCCAGGGTTGCCCCAACCCGGGTGCAGCACCAGCCCTTGGTCTTGTTAAAGATGTTGAGCTGACAGTCCTTGTGCATCCCAGCCCTGCATCCTCATGGAGCTGGAGCAGGGGGTGTGCAGGTCATTCCCCTCCCCAGCACTGCCAGGAAGCAGATGGATGGATGGATGGACAGACAGTGGGTGTCCAGCACAGCTCCAGCCTCCCATGCAGCCCCCAGTGCTGTTGTGTCACTTGCCACAGCTGTTGGCACTGTGATCAGTCTGGGTTTGGCAGTACCTGGGTGTCAGAGGTGCAGCAGCAGCAAGGACTGTGCTGAGAGTGGGAGAGCTGGGGGTGTTCACCAGGAGGAGAGAAGGCCCTGGGAGACCTGAGAGCCCCTT